CGGCGGGAGCCCACAGGCGCGCAGCAGCCGCACGGCCAAGAGAGGATTTCGGAGCGGTGAGGGGTAAGGGGTTGGTACCAGGGCGGCATGGGTAAAACACACCAAAACCAGGGGCTACTTACTGCGGAACAAATAAGACACCCGAGCCTAAAACCCGTGCATTTTAGACTGCGACATTTATTTTCTTCAGTAGGCGTGTCTGGTACATAAACACCATCTTCCATTCTTGTTATAAACTGTTTGGCTAAAAGCAATCTCGGAAAGGCTACAGAGATGGTCATTTCAGTCTTAATTTGAACTCCACCCTATAGGGAGTTTTACAGTTAAGGCTTAAATGTTTCAGTGAATCATACGAATTGCTGACATGCTACATTAATATTGACATCCACTCAAAATTATATAAAATACAAGCATTTTATTTTTTGAATTCAACAGTATTGCTTAGAATTACAAAATACAGCAATGTCTGAAATACTGAAGGTTTCATAAGAGCAGCATTTTTTCTCCCACGCCCAGTCCAGAAAATTACTAAACAAAAATATTTACCGTGTTACATAAGCCACAGATTTAGGAACATGACCATCAAGTCTTAAACCACATAACTGAAAAATAAATGAAAACAGCAACTGGCAGATGAACATGACACTGCCAAGGACAGGATAAGAAGTCTCTGTGCTCTATATGTTATAGCTTTTTTTTTTTTTTTTTCCCAGTCAAAAAATACCACTGTGTTTAGATATAAATTTAGAAGGCAGGCTGGCTTTGTGATGAACACATCAGTGCTTCTGTCGTTAATGGTGCAGAATCACTTTGGTGACTACTGATGAACATATTTATACGCATATGGCAAAACAAACCTGTAACAACACAGTGCAATTCTTTCGTTGTAATGGAGCTATAAAGAAATAGCACAATTTTCCATACATGTGCTTGAATATACAAGTTCTAAAAGCTACAGGTGAAATTACAACCTTTGAAACATACACTCAGTTTATTTTGTCACAGCAGGAACTGTGTGTACTTACTCAGGTTGAATTTTCCCGTAATTCAACTATTTAACTACTTTTGGTCCCCACGTGCAAAAAACCTACTTGGAGCATTTTTCCCTTCTCCCTTTCTTTCACTTGTTTGTCAAGAACAGATTGATTTTATTTCTTTTTAGTGCATGACTTTTCAAGTAACTAGCCTATGAAAATCTACAAAGAGCTTAAAATATCAAGAAGAAAATCCAAGGAAAAGCATTTGCACAAAGATAACATCCTACACTTTTTTTTTTTTTAAAGACCATGTAAAAAAGAAATGGATAACGTATAGGTTCTGACATTTATATTAAACAAAAAGAATTCCTGTTTTTTTCAAAAGTAGTTTCTCAGCATATGCAAATTGTGTATTTTTGCTTATTCAGAATACATTAATTTAGCCTATAAAAATACAATATGGACAAGTTCTTCTTATTCCCTGACATAAGGATTCACAATTTTGACACAAAAATTGTAAACTTTTATTACATTCAAAATACATTTCTTAAGTCTTTAGAATTTAAGTTCTGAGGTGTCGGCAGTCAGAGCTCTTGGTATACAGCAGAAGTACGTTATTGCAGTGCCTTTACACAGGAGTAGCTTTCTAAAGAGAAACTTACTCTTCCCACGTATTTTTGTTGCTACCAGGAGGAAAAGAAAGGCTTCCTGCTATGAAAGGTCTGTGTAAACGCATTACTCAGATGAACAATTCGGCCCTGACTTCCAGTGCTACTTCGCTCCACAATCACACGTGGCATCTGAACAAGCTGAATGGGACTTTTTTCATCCTTTAATGCCTGAGTAAGGTTTAGTATCTAAAACAGTAAAAGCAGGTCAGGTGAGGGCACGCAAATAAAACTGTGGCTAACAGGCTTATAAATTTAGATGCCATCCTTAAATAAATTCTGTAAAGGACTGCGCTGTCAAACAAATTATTTTAAAAATATACTCTATTGCCAGTAGAAATATTTTATTTATCTGGTAACATTGACACCCTACTGCTATCCAACTACCCTTCTGTTCTTTTCTTCAACATTTCACGCAATCCTCTCCAAATTTTTGGAAAATGTTAGAGATAAAAATGTAAGAGCATTTTATATTTAGCACGTCTTTTAAGAGCATTGCACCTCTAATGAAAAAAACCTACAAGAAAGCAATCAACATGTATTTAGCATAGGATCTACCAGGAGCTTAGCTACAAGTAATTTGCACATGAGAAGATATGAAGCCATATCATTAACCCATGCCAAACTCTGTGCTAAAATCCAAATTCATCCCTCAGATCCTAGGAGTCTGTAATTTTCCTTCCTAAACTTCAGTGCACTCATTAACTGCCCTGATAATTTACTCCATGTTCAATGCTATCCTGC